TTTTTCAGCCTTTCTTACCTTGGCCATGTCTCTGAGTATTGCACATCTTGTGCTTTTGGGCACTCCAGTGATGTTACAGCTCTGAAATATGGCAAAACTGGTGGCAAGTGGCATCTAGGCTTTTCTCAGTTCATGGGCAGTTATTTTGCGCCTTGGTTTTTCCACACGCTTCTTGCGACCCTGTTGACTATTTTGAATGAAACGCTTGATTGTTCGATGGTCACGCTTCAGAAGCTTGGCAATTTTAAGAGTGCTGCATCCCTCTGCAAGATATCTCACTATTTTTGACTTTTCTGAGCCTGTCAAGTCCCTCTTCTGACCCATTTTGCCAAAGGAAAGGAAGTTGCCTAATAATTATGCACACCTGATATAGGGTGTTGATGTCATTAGACCACACCCCTTCTCATTACAGAGATGCACATCACCTGATATGCTTAATTGGTAGTGGGCTTTCAAGCCTATACAGAGTATAGGGAGTATATGGAGTAAGACAACGTGCATAAAGAGAGCGAGGTGGTCAAAATATTAATTAGCCTAATAATTCTGCAATAATTATTCTAATAATTATTTGCCTAATAATTCTGTAATATTTTATAATAATTTTTGTTTCATTATATTTGTGTCCGGCTCCTAAGTTGTTCTGTCCCTGATGACCAATATCGTTGGCGACCCCTATACCTTTTTTTTTTAATAAACATCCATTTCTTATCTAGACTCTATTTATGCTCTTAATGTAGAAACATCAGTTTAATCCATATGATAACAGGGTTTTTTTAGAATCTATTGATAACTTGGTGTGTTTTGTGTGTGTGTGTGTGTGTGTGTCCACAGAATTTCGCTCGCCCTCACACCTTAGCGGCCTGAATCGGACAGCGTCTCTGAGCGGCACAGACAGGACAGAGTCCCTCTCCATCAGCGGTAGCAACAGTCAGCTCAACAACAGTTTCCCCACACAACAGTACACGCCAGACTTTTACGTCCGCGCCCTCACTGACCTGCAGTTTGTCAAGGTTGGTCTCAGGTTTTAATCTCTGTAAATGAAGATTGCCATCATGCTTTCATACTGTTTTTTTTCCTTCAGAATTTCAAAGCCTTATTGACGAAGGTCATTTAACTCTTTGACACTTTGATTTTGCTTCTGAACCTGGTCTAAATATATTATTATATAATATATTAAGTGCCCTGAAACATGAAAAATGCCTCCCCTTCAGACAGCACTGCACACGTCTACGTTAAAGATTATTTTTAAAAAAACAGCATAAAATCTGGCATTCACATATCCCAGTATTTCAATCTTGTAAAGTTGAAAGTTTTTTTTTCGTCACACTGTTTGTCGGCTAAAGATCCCAACATGTTGCATTGCACTTGAAATGATATTATATGAAGAATGTTTAGAGGCAAAAAGTACATTAATTGGTTATCTGTCCTTAAATGTGTGTAGCATAGAACCAGGTGCCAACAGTGACTGGCTCTGTTGTATAGTTGTCCCAGTACTTAAGTACAGTACTGTGTATTAGCCAAGAGAGATGCAGCAATAGTACACAGTAGTAATGTTTTATACATTTTCATCATTTGATGACAAAAACGTACAAAGAATTTGTTATTATAGTGTATGTCTCTCTCTCTCTCTCACTCTCTGTCACTCGTTCTCTCTTTCACTTACTCTCTCTTTCTTTCTCTCTCTCTCGCTCTCTCTCTCTCTCTGTCTCTCTCCCTCTGTTTCACTCACTCACTCTCTCTATTTCTGTCTCTCACTCACTCCCTCTCTCTGTCTTTCTCTCTCTGTCACTTGTTCTCTTACTCACTCGCTCTCTCTCTCACTCACTCACTCTCACACTACCTCTCTCTCACACTACCTCTCTCTCTCTTTCTCTCTATCACTCTCACTCTCACTCGCTCTCTCTTTCTCTCTCTCTCTGTCACTCTCTCTCTCTCTCTCTCTCTCCCTGAAGATCACACGAACTCAGTACCAGAACGGTCTGATGGCGTCCCGTTTAGACAGCACGCCTCAGTCCCCGGAGAGCGGCCACAACCCAACCCGCCTGGACCAGACCAATCCACTGGTGACCACGGCCAACATCGCCATCACGGACGTGACCGCGGACTCCGGCGCGACAGAGAACGGGCCTGATGAGATGACACTTCTCCTCCTCAATGAGCAGAACTCACCGAACACGGCCAACCACCACAGCCAATTGGAGAACAGCATCTGAGCCACGCCCCCCGCACCTCCCCAACATTCACTACATTTGCACGCATGCACTACTGGGTTTGCATAATGTACAGGGGAGGCGATGTGTGTGTGTGTGTGTGTGTGTGTGTGTGAGAGAGAGAGAGCAAGCGTATATGTTTATGTTCGTGTGATAGTGATACAAGCCATGTGCATGCATATTGTGTAAATATGCAAGAGTGAAACAGAGCTCACCGTTTATACACACAGACGTCACCAAGTGAACGGTAGGAACTCTTCTCTTCTCTTCTCGTCAGCCTGTCCATCGTTTGTGGACTCATCAACACCAAAAATATTTTAGTGCGTGCTCTGTCTACACGGTGTGTGTGAAGTGTGTGTGTGTGTGTGTGCATGAGAACTCTCTACGTATGACGTCAAAGATCTGGAGAACAATGCTTCTTTGGACCAGAAAATTCCTCCCTGTCTGGTCCGTCAGAGTGATTCCTGTTTGTAAGGCTCGACAGTGATGCATCTTCCTTTTCTCTGATGTTTTGTGTGTGTGTGTGTGTGTGTGTGTGTGTCACGAATTTATTGTCCCTTATCAGAGACTCAGGGAGAATCCCCGACGGTCAAGTGTGATAAAAACTAACCATCCCAGCGCTGCACTGTTACCACGTTATCCATACAGCTAGAAGACAAAGATTAGCCTAGCCTAGCCTAGCATGTGGGCGGATTTCACAAATGATCTATTAAAAAAGTTTGTGTTGTGTGTACACACAGACACACAACAAAGTGGGTTTCCATTCACTTATAATTACATATATTCATATATATATATACATATGTGTGTATATATATATATGCAAATATATATATCTACTTTTATCTCTATAAAAAATATATATACATACATATTTATCTATATATATATATACATATATAGATATATATTTACATATATATACTTATATATAGATATTAATAAAAATATATATGTACCGGTTGTACAAAGTAGAAACACATGCAGTACTGTGCAAAAGTCTTTTGCCACCACTGGCAAAAGAACAACAGAAAGGGGGCGACAGACCTCTGATGTTCAGAGGTGTGATTGACAGCTCGGAGCTCCACTTTAATTTGGGGCCGTACACCTGCGACAGCAGTGTGACAGGAACCACAAATTTAAATATTGACAAGTTTGTTCCAGATTTTTTTTGGCATTACTCTCAGGTTCTACTAACTCAAGCCAGAACATTATTAAAAAGTGTTTTTTTTTATGATGTAATTTCCTTTTCATTCATGTTGGCCTAAGACTTTTGCACCACATAAACAACAGGAGCCTTTATCCCAGAGATGTAAAGAGATTCAGCGTCAAGTTTGTTCTGTGACTAGACAATCACCGTGACTCAAATGAGGGTGTTCGGCTTAAATTAAATGTATTATCCGGTACGGTAACTGTAGCGGCCCCTAGAGGCCTGTGCCCTGCTTAGCTTTACACTGTTCTCTACGGCATCGTGTCAGTCCACTTCCTGTATCGGTGTCGGAATCCATGTCCGCTCATGAAATCCTACTGTTCTGAGAGAGTGCTGTGCGTATGTGTGAGTGTGTGTGAGAGCCAAAGGCTGTGGCCAGACCTGGAGATAACAGAAACCAAAGGAGGGAAAAGTGTGACGACCTTCTGACTAGAAAATATTATGAGCAATCTCCGTTTTTTTTATTTATTTAGTTTAATGTTTGTAAATATTTTTTGTTGATGAACATGGCAAGAAATCAGATTTTTTTTTTTTTTGACTCAATGTGAGTTTTGATGTTTTAAATGTACTTTTTTTTCCATGTGTTTAATCAATTCCTGGGGGGGTGTTGTAGGGAGAGGAGGTTACGTTGTTCGTCTGTCCGTGTGTGTGTGTGAACTGAAAACACACATCTCAATCCTATCATCAACCAAAATTTGTCGGTTCAATACCCTCATGTTCAGTATGTTCATGTATATTTTCTCATCCATCACACTCCAAAAACGTGTTCATGTTTTGAATTTTTTTTTTTTTCCGGTTCTTTTTTTTTTCCGGTTCTTTTTTTTTCCCCCCGGTTCTTTTATATATATTTTATTGGTGATTTATTACATGCAGAATAAATCACACCTCAAGATTTTGAAATCAAATACTGAAACATTCGTTTTCTTTTTTTTTTTCTTTCTTTCTAACTCTAAAACAGTGTTTCCCAACTTTTTCTCACCAAAAAAATCTCACAAAAAGTATACGTAATGAAAATGTACTCCTGTTTAATTGAAGACAATGCTGATATACTGACAGGAATTGAAGAAAGACTAAAAGATCTTCAACATCTGTAATTATCTTCTAGTTTTTTATAACCATCTGCTGCCACCTAGTGGAAGAGAAATAATTGCGTTGCCTGTCTCGCATTGACGAACAACAGAAAAATTATTTGCAATAAATACATGATAGTTTTGGGACCAATTACGTGACATTGAATAGTGTGCCACAGCCACTACTCTAAACCACCAAAGGCACGAGTTCATCTGACAAAGCTGTTGCCAAAGAGGATTCTGGGATGTGTATTTGATACAAGTTGAGTTCCAACAGAAATCAAATATAATTGTTTTTTATTTCCGCGTCAACGAACAAACACTGTAAAAACAGAAATATCAACAGGAGTCTTGTTCTGACCTTGTATGGATTCTAAAATCAAAACGGAACTGCTTCTACATTGACGTTGTTCTCCTACCACTGAAGGTGAAACCCCTAACACGGGGATATTACTTCTTCTGTTGACTTCTTGGTAAAAGTCTATTTTAAACCTTCTTATGTGTGGTTCGGAAAAAAACTTAAATGTCACAAGAAGTTACTTTACTGATTTTGAAGAAGTACATTTCCTTCTTTTGTCACAAGACAAAAAATGTGGTCGAGTTCAGTTTTTCATCCTGGTCCTGTGTTTTTTAGGCTGTTCTGACAAATTTCTGCCACAGAGTTTGTCTTTTAAGGCTGCACTAAAGTTTTTTTAAAAAGTAATTAGAGATGACTACTACACCTGTTCAGCAGCTGTTCTTATCTTTTATATCAATGTAGATTAAACGGTTTAACACAGGGTCTGGAATATTTAAAAGATGTTGAAAAAAATGACGACAAAGTGTTTTCAAAAACACCCCAGTGAAGATCTTGATTTCTGGTTTTGCTTAAAAAATATACGTTTAAATTTAATTATTTTTGTTTAGCTGAACACTGGATATGTTGCTATTTTCTACAAAATGTGTTTATATATATATATATATATATATATACATATATATTTATGAATATTCACTAATATATGTGTATATATTCACATATATACATACATGAAAAGAATAGTACATAACAGTTGCATAGCACAGTTCATTTTTGTCAACAGTTTCTAGCAATTTCTTTTTATGCTTTTCTAATTTCTGAACAAAGTTAAGTTTAATTTAGCAAACAAACACGCACACACACATATAAAGGATAATTCAAATTATAATAACTATTACTGCACAGTTCATTTCAATGGACTTGGTGGATTTTAGTCACAGTCGTTGATCTTGACAGGCTGACAGAACATATGAATTAGTCGTTAGGAAAAGCTCCCGCAGTCGGTGCAAATAATGTGTGCATTGACTGTGTATTAGAGACACAGCTATATATGTGCATATATGTATATATTTACACATTTATACATACATATGCATACATATGTATATTTATGCACGTGTATAGACACATATATATGTATGTATATATATATATATTTACTATATATATATACAGTATATACAGATATATTTATCTATTTGTGGTTATATATACATATGTGTGTGTATATTTGTACATTCCACCATCATATAAATATATATGGTATATATAACTATATGTAAATACATATATGTATATAAAATATATATATGTATATATAAATATATATATTTACATGTGTACAAATATATACAAATATATGTATTCATGTGTATATATATATACATATATGTGTGTATATATTTGTACATTCCACCTCCCATTTACTAATTGTACTCCCTAATACACAGTCTATAGACATGTTATTATTTGCCCCCACACGTATCTTGAGAAAAAACCCAGTGAAAACACTTTGTCTTTGTTTTTTGTTTTTTCCCCACAGCTGCTGTAAACTTCTGCATAACACTTTCAAGACCACGTCACAGTTCTTTTCCTCAGTCACAGCTCCATGTTTTCCCTGTTAGGCTCATCCTGTAAATACAAGAACTGAAAATGAGTGAGAAACCCAGATTTGCCAAAATCGCCACAGTGGACTAGATGCGGTGCCGCAAAACTCACTGGATTTCGTAACCATCGGCGCCTTTTGACACACATTACACCGCACATACAGTAGCTGCCTTCACAGTCTGTTCTATAGAGACAGGAAAAGCAGTGAAAGGAACTCTTTTTTTTCAACTTTTCTTTGTTCTCATGCCTCTGGTTAATGTTCTCGGTTAATGTTGTGGTTTAATTCATTCCTGAACTGTTTCCTCCTCAAACACGTACCTTACCATTTCAACAAATAATCTTTGTTTTCTGTTTTCTGGTGATATTGATTATGTGACTGTTCAACCCTTCCACATTTTTTTTTTAATTGTTCGGTCTTGGGTTTGATTAATTGTACGGTCTTGGGTTTGATTATGGTCTTGAGCTATTTTGTACCTCGGAGGCACCTTCGCTGTGCTAATTGTGCTAATCATTCTTTTTTTTTTTTCTTTTTCATTTGTCAAATGTTTGATTTGCGGAGAGTAACAGAGTGAATACTGAGTGCCGGGTGTTTTGGAGGGAAATGAAAGAAAATGAAGTGCTCTCTTAGCTTTTTAAAAAGGGATATAAGCAAATGTATAAATAATGTTTTGTAATTTCTGTCTTAATGAGTTTTTGAAGATGAAGAAAGTTCTAAATAAACCCCAGATATATTTCTCTATGGACCTTTCTGATTGTTCTGTCTGTGTCTGTGACATTTGCACTACAGAACGCTGACCTCTGTAGATGAGGTGTGAATTTACTTTAGTCATTCATTCGTTCAACTTCATCTCTACCTCCAAATCCTATTCAGGTTCTGAATCTTGTTCAAATGGCAGTGTTAGCAGTCATATAAAATATATATATTCACACTAACATTCAGACTTTGATTGAACAATTAACACAATCTTGAATATCTTTAAAGTCTGGGAGGAAACAATTGTATTCAGAAAAATACTTCTCAGAGAGAGACTCCAGGTAATCAAACTCATGATCTTCTTGCTGTAAGGCAAGAGCACTAGCCACTCTACCACTGTTAGCCACTCTTAGACTGCAGTGTAGGTACTTGAAAAAAAGTCACAAACCTTCGCGACCCAAGTCAATAGACATTATTCGTGAACTCCCTGGAAACTTCTCGAAATGATGCGAGACGACCCAAAAAAAACCCAAAAAAAACTGGGGGTCACGACCCAGTCCTTGGCAAACAATGTACTAAACAGTACCCAGGTACTTACATCAGAATTCTGTTCCTAAGGAGTTCGGAATTCACATACTCTACCTCAGTACCTAGATCACTCACCTACACTAGCAAAGTGACATCATAGTCTAGACCATACGTGTCAAACTCAAGGCCCGGGGGCCAAATGCGGCCCGCCAAGCCGTTTTGTGTGGCCCGCGGGAGCTTAAAAAACATTTAGTAAAGTCCATGCAGCAGAGTTTCTCAACCTATGGTATTAAAAGTTTTTTTTTTATTACACAGCGATGAACAATACTGTTAGCTTGAATAAATAATAATCAATTGCAGAAACATGTATTAGTCTGTTATGAAGTAGTTACATCTATACCAGTGGTCCCTAACCTTTTTTGTTCCAAGGACTGGTCAGCCAGTACTACCCGTTACTACAGAACGGTATCAAGGTGCTGTGCATTGAAGGATCATTACATTTTCAAAATAAAACGTCTTTTAGATGCTGTTCTGTTTGTATCAGAGTCTGAATGACGTATTATTTTGAAATATGTACATATTATTTTTAAGTAAATGGATATGACTGGATTTTCTTTGAATGAAGCAAATTAGTTAAAATTAAGTACATTTTTTCACCGTGTCCCACTGCGGCCCGGTACCAAATGACCTATGGACTGGTACTGGTCCACAGACCAGGGATTGGGGACCTCTGGTCTATACAGTCTTTCATTTACAACCGGCCCTTCAAGGGAAACTGTATTGCTGATGTGGCCCCCGGTGAAAATGAGTTTGACACCAATGGTCTAGACAATAAAATAGAGCATTCTGACTTATGCCTGGGAGCCATAATGACGGGAAAAAAATTCCTGAAAAAATAAAGACAACAAATGCAGCACAATACACTGTACAGAGTACAACTGTCCACACTGATCGCCAACTAGTACCCGTGCGAACATTCGTTTTAGAGCTGTTTTTGTCGTAATAATGGAACAAAACTTTCAAAAAGTCGATGGCGTCGTAAACCGAGAACCCACTGTATATTTCATTTACTTCAATAAGAAACGCACATTCTGCTAAAGGTTAGCCAATCAGCAGGTACAAATAAAGCATCAAAGAGTATATCTGAATCTGTCAATAAATTGCAGTCAATAATTGGAACCATGTCTGTGTCTCCAGGTCATCGGTTCTGAAACAATCAAATCAAGGGCAACTGAAGAGGTGGAAATGTCCTCAAGAAACCAGGCCTCACATCAGGCCTCAACCTCTGCATGTAATAATATGAAATTGTTTC